ACATAGAGAAGCACATGGACATGAATGGGTGACAAGGATTATCAGCCTATACCTATCATTTGGAAATAAAAAATAGGAGAAATAGTCAAGGAGGTYTGCTCCTTGGATATCTGTGCTCTAACTTCTGAGGCCCTTTAAACTTGCTCTTCATTGGATGTTCAAAAGATTGAAGATTGGAAYCTACCACTGTAGGCTGCACTTAGGAAGGTTATTCCAAAAACTCAGCAAGATCAAATGACATTCAACAATCTGATTTATGCATTAATTCAGAGTTTCCAAGAATTCTATTAGGACTCTCATGCGTCGCCCAACAAGATGTCTGTGTAACTTAAATGTTTTGAAGCGAGAATGCACATTTATCTTTTATTTGAAATTGATGTTTTGATTTTTTTTTGTATTTAATTTCAATTTGGATGAATGAAGAGAGAACAAGTTATTTGAAACAAATTACAATTTTATTTAATAATTGAAAGCAATTACATGTTATTTGGATTTTGGATTAAATTATAGATTATTTTAGTAGGGGAAAAAGTAAATTAGTGTTATCTATAGTAGAGGATATTTTGAGCCAAACATATAGCGGCAATAAGGATACGCCTTTAGCGGCAGTCAGTGACTACTGCTAAATTCATATTTGTAGCGGCAGTTTTTTGAGTTGTACCGACAATCGCCAAAACTGCCACTAGAACCCTTAATGACACCTATTTTAGTGGCAGTTTGACGACTGCCGGTAGAACTTGTACTGGCATTTTTTAGGACTTTTAGCGGAAGTTTTGACTTCCACTAAAAGTATTTTGTTAGTTATTTGAGCCTTTCTATTTGACGTAGTTAATTTTCATGTCTATTGTTTTGCTTCTGTGTAGAAAATTGAGGAAGTTGCAAAAGAGTAAACAAATTAACTAAGCTTGTTCTATTGGTGTTACAGAATCACCTTGGTCTTGCTTGACGTGATGTGAGTCTTCCTTTCCTTCTTTTTTTCTTAATTTGGTCCATGCATGAATTAATGGAGAACAGGTTGCACAAACATGGATATGAAATTGATGGCAGTGCCTCGAGTGCGGAGGAGCCCTCTTCTTTATTCGCCCACTCAAGAATCGAATGATGGCCCTTGTGGTAGGAAGAATTGAAAGCGGACAATACCCATTGGTCCATGCATGTTTTTTTTTTTTTTTGCTATAGACTGCTTAGACCGTAGCTATAGGTTCTCATTTTAGCTACAAACAACCTAAGTTCGTAGTTGTAGTTTTTTTAATTTTAGCTATGGATAAAGTAAAGTGTAGCTATAGATTCATATTTATAGCTATGGTCATCTCAAAACCGTAATTATAGATCTAAATGTTGTAGCTTTGGGCACTTCGAAACCATACCTATAGAGCGACACTTAGCTACTATTGTAAAACAAATCGTAATATAGAGTGAAATTTGTAGCCATGGTTAACTTAAAAACCATAGCTAAAACTTCACATATAATTATTGAATCAGGCTTTAGCCACAGACATAGATTGTAGCTATAGGTTAGTTTTAGCTACAGATACTAGCATTCATAGTTATTAACTATAGCCACCGCGACTGTAGCTACTGGTTTCTGACCATAGTTAGTCCGTAGCTATAGACCTATAGCTACAGTTTTTTTGTTTATAGCTACAATTTTGTCCATATCTATAGGTCTATTTTCTTGTTGTGTGGTTTAACTTCACCACCCATGTCCATAAAAGAGCTATAACTATTATTCACTATAAAAAAAATACATAGTACCTTGTGACTTACAACTCAAACCAACTCTTAACCCTTGTACACCCATTCTCCCTTTTTCTCTCAACTTGAAGAACAAAACAAGAGAAAAGAGCCTATTATTACACTAAGAGCACTCCTCTCAACCTCCCTCTTTTTCCTCTCCAACAAGAAAAAGAATAAAGTTCTATAAACCTTACATACAAAAGATACCTTTTATATGTAAAGCTCACCTTAGCCTAAATGAAGGACCACACCAACCATTAGATTACAACCTAGTCCAATAGTATCCCGTGATGAATATGATTTATTGTCCCATTAATTAGGTTAACTTCATAAAATATATTAGTTGTTTTTTTATGCTTGGATGCTTTTGTGTGAGCTTATTTATACATTATGGCTACAACTATAAATATCTTTGTTATTTCCTCTTTGGTAATTAATGTTGGACTTCGAATAGAAAAAAAATTAAGGATTGGAAATAGGATTTTGAATATGTATTTGAAATTGCTAGCATTGGCTTAATAATTTTGGATGATAAGCCAAATATGAGAAATGAGAAGGCTCTAAATAGAACAAATTATTGTAGGACTCTTTTTTAGAAATATCTCTAAAAGAAATAATGTCAAAGAATTCTTAGTAGCATAATTGCAATTGTTCTAAAAGTTAAAAAAGGCTATAGTTAACATAATTTCTGTCAAATTAGTAATATGATGGAAATGGAAATGTGTGTGGATGCATCATGGACATGATACATCTAATGGGTTGTTTAAAGTCAAATCAAAGTAAAAATTTCTAAGGATTTCTGAATCAACCTTATTCTCATTTCTCTTCTTGCCTAATTTGGGACTTCCAATACTACATATTATATGTAGGAAGAGAAATAAATTGTTAATGAACTTATATCTATGTTTACTTAAGAGGAATATTATAAAATAATACTACTTTTGTGCCAAATGCACTTGATTATAACTTCAACTTTGGAAAAAATATTTTTGCATTCAGATGTTATTGCCAATGGTTCACTTTATTATAGGTTTTACAAATAGAATCTCAATTCTAATCAATAAGGGCTTCAATAGATCACTACCATAATTAAAGGACCAAAATATGTTAAGTTGTTATTCAAACAATCATGTTCACACAAAGTACAAATAAAGCCTTCTTGTTTGCATAAGTACCAAGACTAGATATAAAAGTTTAGCCCTTAAAAGAAGACAATATTGTTAGAATATGGATTTCCTAGCTTACAAACTCGATCTCCACAAAACCTTCCCTTTCACCCATATATCATTAACAAGAAAAAACAAAAAGAAAAGAAACTCTAAAGCATGTAGGTGAAACTAATGTGACATAAAGTCAAGCATAAATGGTGGATAAAAAGTACT